GTGGCAGTGTCTGTACACCGTGTAAATCAGATAGTAAAAGGAAAATGTTAATTGTCCTTTAATCTTATTTACATGGTGCGGCGGAACCTCGATACACTTCGTGCACTCACTGAGTATTTGACCTACCCAAACAACCAAAATGCACAGAAATTATGGTCATACTTATTTCAATTATTATTTATAAAATGTAAGTTAAAACTAGTGCCTGGTTTGAAACTTCGGAAGAAATAACCTAATATTATAGTCTAGTTATACGCTGGGATGAAAAAACCAGATTGTATGCAGCTCTGAATATGTTTGATCTGTTTAATCTATATAAATTTTGGTGCGATCATTTTTTTGTGAACTTTGTAACAGCCGCACCAAGAAACCGTGTATTCAAGTGTGATTGACTTGTAATTCCTTTACTGCTTAGTTTACCAAAAGTACAATGCAATATATTTCTTACCACAGCAGACATAAGTCATTACACATTAAGTAAGCGCAAGCATCCTTAGAATCTAGCATGCGGAACTTCAGTCAGAACACCACTATTCCCTCACTGGAACCCCCCTTTCTTATTTAGCTTCTGCAATAAATCATTGATACATCAGTACCGGAGAGTCAGCAGTGGTTACTCAATAGGATTGCTTGACAGAACGAATTACGATATATTCTTCACTCTGGTGACAGTGAAAATGTTTGAAGCCCAAACGATTGAGTGAACGAGGTTAGGGTTAGTAGGATTGACACAACTTCAGGTACCTTTAAGGAGGATCTGTTTAGGGATTCACGCTACAGAAGTGGACCGAGAGGCAGAGGCCATTATCCGCACTGCTTTCATTAAATGATTACATTTTTTGTTCTGCCCCCCTCTTCTGTGAACAGAGAAGGCCAACATGGACGATATGTTTGGAGGATTTAACTAAATTACGGAAATAATATTTTCTGAATCTAGTATTGTCACACTTTTGGAAACCTGATGGAGCCACTTCACTATGTTGTTATGCTGACAAACGAAGGGGACATTCGTCGTTTATGGCTGTGTTCATAGTTCCTAACCAAAATTGCTTGTTTTAAAGTTTCGGGAGACCGCGAAACTTAGTAAGATCCTAAAATATTTTCAGGCTGTTCGGTAACACATGGCCGCGGTTCCATAATCCCGCACATATGCACTGCGTAACTAATAATCAATAGCCCATTTTATAATAGTTTTCGTCAATTTATGTGTCAATGAGCCTCAAAGCTTTGACGATTGGTTTCGGGTCATACGTCAGCTGGTTAACGAGAAGTTAAGGACAAATTGTTTTTTTCTGGTTGTGGCCAGCCGACATCCAGTACTTCAGGCGCAGATATTTTCTTTTTGGCAGTACTGGTGAACCAATCAATTTCGATAGTTGGGGCGATTTCTTTCTGGTTGTGCCATTACAAATCAACGGCGCTGGAATTCTGACACTCGAGAGCCTCTCTCGAGCACCTTTGGTTGCTACTATCAGCCTCACTCTTCACTCTGCATACGAATGTGTTGCGACACGCGAAAACGCAAATGCCGTGACCAGTTCCGTCTGTAAGTTTGTCTTTGTCCAAATACGAAGATGGTCTTCAAGATTCATTCCGCACCATTCACAGAGATGCTTATTCCTTTGTCCAATTAAGCATCTCCAATCATCTTTCCCAAACTTTTCAGAACGGATCTTCGAAGACTGCTTTGATCCATAACTAATGGCTGTTTGGATTTTGTATTTGTGGTCAGACACAAAATCGAACAATTTATCTAAACGTTTCCTATACTTATTTATTCTTTACAGGAATAACCGTGCACTTCGCTCGGCCATGTCGCATTGTATATATTTACATTCTTAGACGAAATTAAATATAGTAAATATATATTATACTGTATAGCTGAGACGTAACTCAGTCATCCCTGTCGGATGGCAGATGGTGTAAGCGGTTGTTTTATCTTACCATGTACTTATGAAATTTGTTTCTGTTGAAAGCTACGATCATGTTTCGTATATTTAAGCAATGTTAGACATTCATACGAAATTCGTAATTTCAACCTCCTGCATCAATATGAATTAGTCTCTGCTACCTTCAGTGTTTGCTTTCTTGAGATC